TGGTCATGCCACAATCCCTTCTCCTCCATTCTCCTCTCGGGATCTTGGGCACACACGCACACGCGCCCGGTGTGAGTTTTAAGCCCCCGGTCCGGAACGCGAACCGTGGTCGACTACGTGGGAGTCCAGCGACATAGCTATTACACCAACTGCTGGTCCCAGGATGAATGAATTTATTATTGAATAGGAGCAACAACAAACAACAACATAATCCAGAATGCAGGGACGTGGCCCCACGTGGCTATAAAGCTGTAGCAGATTTTCAGTTCTATTTATGTGGATGAAAGCCACATTGGTTTTCTCTCCTCCTACTCTGAGTAAACAGTGGGCTGCTATTCCACCTGCGTTTGTAGTTACATGGATTTCACGTGGCATCTCGATTTCCCTAAGTCCACCAGTCCCTCCTGCAGCTCCTCCCAGCAGTATGTCTATTGATGCTTCTGTGATTTATCAGTCTTCAACACTCAGGAGGAGAGTTAGGTTCAGTTCAATTTCCCACTGGCCCCATCCCAGAATCTCACAGTCAGGACACAGACCAGGGCTGGGGGAATAGGAGAAACATCATGACCCTGGTGCCAATTTAAAGATCATGGTTTGGCAAAGCCTTGGCTTTGATTATGAATCTACAGTGGTTGGAATACACATAGTCCACAGGGCGGCGACCTTTTTAAGGAAGGTAGCAGCCAGCCAAACCCTAAGCCAGGCCAGACAATGTCCAGGACTTCTCCCTTGCTAAGACAAGCCTTGGGTGTTTTTCAGTGGAGGGTTCTGACTTCACTCTGGCCCCATGACCAGAATGTGCTTCAGACATGGACAATCAATCCTGGGCTCCCTGATGAGTTCTGCAAAAAAGTATATAAGTTTAGTCCAAGAAAACTCAAGTCCAATTTATCCCACAAGTCTCAATCCCTGGAGTTTTGTGGGAAACACTGACGAAAAGGAGCTCTTTTCTGGGGACACGGAGCTGGTGGAATGGAAGTCTGAGAAGTGGGAAACGATTACGCCAGCAAAGTGGGAGAGAGAGTCTGCCTGATATCTGGGTGTCAGAGCTCACGGAGAGAAGCAGCTTCCTGTCAACACTGATTCCCCAGATCCACTCATGCCTGAAGCCATATATATATATATTTATTTATTTATTTTTTTTAAAGAGAGATTTTTGCTACAGGACATATGCACTCGCTGGAGAGACAGAGACAGAAAGTGAAAAATCCAGGGAGGATGACCACACCGCATTCCCTTCTCTTCCATTCTCCTCTTGGGATTTTGGGCATGCACAAACACCCAGCATGGATTTTAAGCTGTCGCATCCGGGACTTGAAGCATGGTCTACTATGTAGGAGTCCTGTGATGTAACTGTTACTCCATCTGCTGGTCCCAGAGGCCATGATATTTTTAAAGTTCTTAGTTACTAGAACCGATATGTTCCTTTATCTTGGATTCGTTTTGATTTCAGTTTTATTCTCTTGCTGCCTCGTGCAGTTCTATTTATGCATTTACCCAAAGAACAATCACACGTATCTGTTTGGGTTCCTTGGTTGAGGCAGCCATAATCAACTCTGTCTGACTTAAGGAAAAAACAAAAAGAAAAAATCAAAAGAAAGAAGTCATGAGGTCAAAGCAAGTTGAGAACCGAATTGACTAATGCCTAGAAAACAGGCTGGAAAAGCACAGGGACTGCTCAGGGTCAGAGAAGGCACCTTCTCTCCTTGGGTTGTGTTGAGATTCCGCTCTCTGGGCGTGAGGGTGTAGGTGATCATCCTGAGGCCATGTTTCTCTAGCTTTCACAACAAATTACCACAAAATTGATGGTTTAATGCAAGAAGAATGAATTCCCTCACAGTTCGAGGGGCCAAAGTTTGGGATCAGGGTGTGGGCAGGGTTAATTCCCTTAGAAGGCTCTAGGAAAGGAACCATTCCATGCCTCTCCTAAGGCCTAGACTAGGGTCTCCCACGCTAGATTCACTGTTTTTGAGTGATTTAATTCCTTCCATCCACTTCACGCTGAAGGCTCTTTATTGAGTCCCCTGGCCTGGCTGAGTTTCGGATTTGTGCTAACCAACCCTTGGTGTTTCTTGTCTGGTAGACCCGTTACTCCATTTCTGTCTCCATTGTCACATGGAGTTCTCCTTTCTGGGTTTCAGTGTCCCGTCACTGAGGGTTGAGGTAGCCATAATCAACTCTGTCTGACTTAAGGAAAAAACAAAAAGAAAAAATAAAAAGAAAAGAAGTCTTCTTATAAGGGTACCAGTCTTACTGGATTGGGGCCCACCCTGATCTGGGATGACCTCATCTTAACTAATTCCATCTGCAAAGACCCTCTTTCCATGTAAGGTCATATTTTGAGGTTCTGGGAGAATGTGAATTTGGGGGAGACACTATCTCACTCAGTACAGGCCACCTATATATCTCTTGGTTGTCGGGGGTGATGAGAAGAGTGTTCAGGAAGGGATTCCTTTGCCTTTCATGGCAGAAGGTATTGGATTTGTTTCCCATCAGTACTAGGAGACTATTCCTGCCAAGAAAGCTCTAATTCTTTCAGAAAGGGGACCAGACCTCCCCCCACCCAGGCAACAAACTCATCCCCACCTGCCCTTTTCTAATACACACATTTTTTTTTTGAGAGGTTTTTGCTCAATGAGGACTCAGTAAAGAACCTTCAGCATGAAGTGGATGGAAGGACTTTTAAAAATCACTGAAAAACAGTGTATCTAGGGTGGAGACCCACCCTCCCATTCACTCATGGTCCCCTAATAGACCCAGAGGACTCTGTTCACAAGGGCTCTCAGACATACATGGCAAAAGAAGCTCTGGTCATGAGGGAAGGGATGCTACAGAAATGTGTGTATTAGATGGGGACCAGCAATTGGGGTAACGGCTATGTCGCTGGATTCCCATGTAGTCAACTGTGGTTCAAGTCCTGGACCTGGTAGCTTAAACTCACGCTGAGTATGTGCGTGTGTGCCCAAGATCCCAAGAGGAGAATGGAGGAGAAGGGACTGTGGCATGACCAACCCTCCTGGGGGGTGATTTCTCGTTTTCTGTCTCTCTGTCTCTCTCTGTCTTTCTAGTGAGCGCACCCATCCTATACCAAAAACCTCTCAAAAAAGAAAAGAAAAGAAAAGAAAAGAAAAGAAAAGAAAAGAAAGTCATGCCGGGCAGGAGCTGCTGGTGGCATGTAGGTCTCCAGGGCCTGTCCTGGCATTGGGGGGAAGCACTGTGGGCTGCTGTCAGACCCCCAGCTCGCTGGTGCCCGAGGAAGTTGTCTCCCTTCCTTCCAGCTCAGGCTCCTCCTGCAGTGCCCGGTGGAGCACAGTCCCCAGGGACTCCTTCAGCCTCTGGCTCCTCCGACTGCCCACGAAGAAGTAGATGGCGGGATTGGCACTGCTGCTGAAGGCCGAGGAGAGGCGTGAAACACAGGTGTACAGGAGCGTCACTTCATTGGGCAGGTTCGCCCAGTACAAGACGAACCAGTAGAGGCCGAGGGGCAGGGAGAAGATGAGGAACACAAACACGGAGGCCAGGATGACCATATATAGCCGCATGGGCTGCCGCCGCCACTGCCCTGAGCTTTTCCGTACTCGGACAAAGAGGATCAGGCTGGAGAGGACCATCAAAGGGGTGAAGGCTCCCATGATGAGGCCATTCAGGACCATGTCCACTGTGAAACACTGGGTCAGGTCAGAGTGCAAGAATCTGGCACAGAGGAAAGAGGCCAGCATGTTCATGAGGAAGGACAGTGCCCAGAGCAGTGTACACACCACGGTGGACAGGTGCTGGGGCTGGTGACACTTGTACCAGATGGGGAAGAGAACTGAGATACAGCGCTGGACACTGATGGCTGTCAGCAGGCTCAGGCTGGCAGTGTAGGCAAAGTACTTCACCCTCCTCACCACATCGTAGGCCAGGTCCCACCTTGTCCAGGTGTGGCTTAAGGGGATGATTTCTAGACATAGTATGGAGGCCATGCAGAGGAGGAAGAGGAGGTCAGCCCATGCCAGGTTGAAGACATAGACACAGAAGGGGGTTCTCTCCCTGCGTAAGCTCAGCAACCAGATCACGACGCCATTGCCGGCTATCCCGCATACACAGGTGAACATGACCAGGGAGCTCACTGCCAAGTAGGTCATGCCCTGCGCATTTAGGGCTGACTCTGAGGCCTTGCTGCTGTTCAGAGTCTGATTCATCCCTATGGAAGGAAGAAGAACCAATGTGAAATTCTGTGTTGTTGGACCATGGGGGACTTTGGAGAGCTTCCTGAATTTTCTGCTTCCAGGGTCTCACCCAAGGTTCTTTTTGCAACAGACCATAACCAGGAGGTTTAACCTTTACCCCACTCCCTTGGCTCAGCTTGTATCTGACCAGATCCATCCTTCTGGATATGAAGCTATTATAGATGCCTTTTAAGAACTTCTATTTCTTTCTTTCTTTTTTCTTTTTATTGTTTTTCAAGAGATTTTTTTTTGCTATAGGGCATGTGCATTCACCAGAGAGAGACAGAGAGACAGAAAGTGAGAAATCACTCCCTGGGGGGATGGCCATGCCACAATCCCTTCTCCTCCATTCTCCTCTTGGGATTTTGGGCACGCATACTCACATGCCCGGTATGAGTTTAAGTTGCTAGGTCTGGGACTCGAACTGTGGTTGACTACAAGGGAGTCCAGTGACTTAACCATTATGCACCTGCTGGTCCCCATCTTTTTTTTTTTTAATTATTTATTTAACTTTGTTTATTGTAATTATTTTTTTAATTTGACGGGGGAGAGAGAGAGAGAGAGAGAGAGAGAGAGAGAGAGAGAAGAGAGAGAGAAAATGAGAAAGCTAGCCACCAGGTCCACGAATTGAACCACGGTCGGCCATGTGGGAGTCCAGCACCTTGACCACCTTGCCCCTGCTGGCCTCTCTATTTCTTTTAAAGTTTATTTATTTTTTTCCATGAGCAAGAGTGACAGAGAAAGACAGAGAGACGCCCTCCTCATAGGGTCTCCACACCACAATCCATCCCGTTTCAGCTCGCCTCAATCATAGACATGTATGTGTGCATCTGGCGTGCTTAGGAAGGTCCTGGGACATTGCAGATTCAGTTTTCTGAAGTCACTCCCCAGGGGAGATGGCCCCACCTCAGTCTCACCTCAGTCTTTTCTCTTTCATTCTCCTCTTGGAATTTTGGGTACACACACACGCACACATATGCACACACACAAGTGCGCACACACACATTAACACACATGCCCAGCATGTTTTTCAAACCACTGGGTCCAGGACTAAAGCCACAAAGTTGGCCATGTGGAATCCAGTCTTCTTAACCATTTTTTCCTTTAAATGTTTTTTCTACCCCTTTCTTGGAATTCAAATTGCACATATATTAGGGCACTTTATAGTAGAGTTACTAAAGCTCTACTTATTTTATTGTCTTACCCCATCCCACCTCACCCCTGGGCTTCACTTTGAGTAGTTTCTGGTGCCTTACCTTCAAGCTGCCTGATACTTTCTTTTGTAGTGTGCAGTCTTCTGTTTATCTCATCCAACAAAATTTTAAATTCCACGTACTATATTTTCAGCTCTAGAAGTGGTACTTGTTCTTAACTATATCTTTAATTTTTCTCTTTATTATGTTCATGATATATTTATTTGTTTGTTCGTTATTCTACTACAGCGTGTGTGCTCTTGCCAGAGAGAGACAGAGAAAAGGAAAATGTGAAAGCACTCCCCAAGGAGGTGGCCACACCACACTCTCCCTTCTCTTCCATTCTCCTCTCGGGATTTTGGGTACATACACTCACGTGCCTGGTGTGTTTTTTAAGGGACTGGATCTGGAACTCAAAGTGTGCAGTTGGTCATGTGAGATCCAGCCACATTAACTACCATGCCACTGACTGACCCTGTTCATGTTTTAATTGAAATCTTTGAGCACTGACATTATAGTTGTTTAAAATTCTTTACCTGTTAATTTCTCGGCAATTTTGTATTTACTAATTTTATTCCTGGTTACAGGTCCCGTTTTCCTGCTTCTTATATGTCTAGTAATACTTGATTGGGTACTGGACATTGTGAGTTTGACATTGTTTTAAAAACCTTGCTCTAAAGAGTGGCATTTCATCTGGTAGGCATTTAATTTACTCACACATAAGCTTAATCCTTTCAAAGTTTGTTTTGAGCTTTGTTAGGGCTGGTCCAGAGTAGCTGTTAGAGGAACCTTTTGGGACTTTTCCACTGGATGCCCCAGATACTCGGTAAAGTCATTCCATTTTGGCTTATAAGAACTTGAATAGAGGCCAGTAGATGGTGTGGTGGTTAATGGCACTAGATTCCCACATGGCTGACAGTGGTTCAAGTCCTGGACCTGGTGGTGGCTTGCTTTCTTGCTTTCCTTCTCTCACTCTGTCTCTCTCTGGTCAAATTCAACAACAACAACAATAATAATAAAGTTAAATAAAATAATTATTAAAAATAGAACTTGAACATTTCCCAGTTCTGTGTGAGCTCTGAGATTTATTCAGTGGATACACTATCAGTAGCTGTTCTTTGCCCAGTTTGATGGAGTTTTATCCTGTATACAGCTTAGTTTTCAGCCAAACACTCCAGGCTCCCCCTATGCAGAATTTTGGAATTTACTCTCTTGAGTAGCTCATTTCCTTCTCTCTGATACTCCATCTCACAAATTCCAGTCACTTAAATCTCTTTGGCCTGACTCCTGTATCTTTAACTCAAGGAGTGGACCATCCTTTGCTTGTTTTCCTCCACCTTCTGTTCCATTCAGAAAACATCTCCAGGCAGAAAACCTGGGTACTTATGGGACTTGCTTCTTACATTTCTCTTCTCTCAAGAGCATAGTCCTGGGATGCTTCTTTTCCAGTATCTTCAAACAGTTATTTCTTATGTTTGGTCCAGTTTTCTAGTTGTTTATGGTTGGAGGGCTTGTCCAGTGCCCCCTACGCCATCGTGGCCAGAGACAGAAGCGTCTCTATTATATTTTCCTGTTAATTATTGCTGGTATAGAGGAGTGTTATAATAAAGTGTAGGTTTTTCTTTTTTTTTTTCTTTTTTTTTTTTTAATGAGAAGCCAATTTATTACCCTCCCCATTTTTAAAACAAATCCAAGGATAATAGAAGTAATCAGGCCAATGTCCTAATTTATTTTATCATGTTATCTGTTGGCTATTTTGATTTTCTATGCGATGATTCTTACATCTCTCATTTCTTTTTCATGTCTTACAGCATACCTCAGGATACCTAGTACTACACTGAACAATAACTGGAATCAGGTATACTTATTTTCTTAATTTTAAAGAGGATATATATCTAAAGTTTATCCATTAGATATGATGTTTCCCCTTAGGTTTTAGTATTACTTTTTTTTTTGGAGAGGTTTTTTGCTATAGGGCACATGCACTTGCCAGACAGACAGAGAGAGACAGAGAGACAGAAAGCGAGAAATCACCCCCCAGGGAAGATGGCCATGCCGTAATCCCTTCTCTTCCATTCTCCTCTCGGGATCTTGGGTACGCAATGCACACGCTCCCGGAGTGAGTTTTAAGCCACCAGGTCCGGGATGCGAACTGTAGTCGACTACATGGGAGTCCAGTGACATAGCCATTACACTAACTGCTGGTCCCAGTATTACTATTTTTTAAAAGAATTACTTATTTAATTTTATTTATTCATTCATTTACTTTAATTTGACCAGAGAAAGAGACACAGAGAGAGAAGGAAAATGAGAAAGCAAGCCACCAAGTCTGGGACTCCAATCATGGTTGGCCATGTGGGAGTGTCCAGCGACTTAACCACCTCACCACCTGCTGGCCCAGTATTATATTTTATCAAGGTGAGGAAGTTCCCTTCCTCATTTATGAGTTTTTTTTAAATCATCAATGCATGATAACATTTATCATAAGCTTTTTATGCATCTGCTGGTGTGATCATTTTCTTTTCCTCCCTTGGTCTATTTGTGTGGTGAATATATATGGTTAGATAGTCTGGTGTTTATTCAACCTTATATTTTTGATAAAGCATTTATCATTTGCTTTGCGTTTTTTTTGTTTGTTTATTTGTTTCCTTCCTTATCTTTTTTTTTTTAGCTCTGATTTTATTTAGAACATTTTCATCCATGAAATTGGCCCATAATTTCCTCTTTGGTACTATCTTTGTCTGTTTTTTTATTTTAAAACTGTAAGGTTATGCCGGCTTCATAGATGAGTTGGAGAGATAACCCTTTTCTCCTACCCTTTAGAACAATTTTTACCATGTAAGGATTATCTTTCTTTGATAGTTTGGCAGAAGGTAAAACCATCTGTTCTGGTAATTTTTATGTGAGTGTGAGTGGATGGCTTTAAAAAATTACAAATCCAATTTACTTCATGTTTTAGCTCTATTCAGGCTTTAATTTCTTCTTGAGTTAGAGTGGTAATATTATTTTTCTAGAAATTGTTCTTGCTTTCTGGTTTCACATTTGTTAGTATAATACTCTCCCCTATAATTTTTCAAACCTCAATTCTATCTGCTACTTTTTATTTGTGACTTTGCTCTATTTTTTTCCTTGATCAGTTGCCAGAGGTTTCTTTTTTGAGAACTCATTTAAGAAAAATTCATTTTTAAACCTTTTTCATTTTCTAAAAGGTATTTGGGGCTATAAATGTACCACTGAGTATTTCTTTAAATGGTTCATGGGTTTTTTAAATGTAATGTGTGTATAGTTGTTCATATTTAAATATTTTAAAATTTGAAACTATTTTAAATATTACATTTATATTTCTATAAATTATTTAGAGTATGGGGCTGGCAGGTGGCGTGGTGGTTAAAGGTACTAGATTCCCACATGGCCGACTGGTTTGAGTCCTGGACCTGGTGGCTTGTTTTCTTGCTTTCCTTTTCTATGTCTGTCTCTCTCTCTGGTCAAATTAAGAAAATAATAACAAATGGAATCAAATAAATAAATAATCCTTTTAAAATTATTTAGAGTGTATTTTACAATGCACAATTGGCTATCTTTTTGTTATTGATGTCTAATATTACTGCATTGAGATTAGATAATGTGGTAAATTTATCAATATTAGCTGAGGCTCACTTTGCAGCCTAATAGATAGCCAATTTTTTTTTACATACTCATTTAATTAAGTTTAAAACATTGTATTATTTAAACTGTGTCTTTATTATTTTTCTGAATGCTATAAATATCAACCCATTATGA